GGGCGGTCGCGGCGCAGCGCCCCGCACGCCTCTCGCCGCTCCGGCGGCGCGGCCCGGGCAGCCTCGCCTCGGGGACGAGACCCGTGCAGGGACCCAGGCTCAGGAGCCAGGCTGCCCCGGGCAGGGGAGCTTTATTTCAAAGGGGGGCGGCGGCCAGGGGGCCGATCGGGAATGAAAACTTCGGGGGGTTCAGGGTGGAGAGGGACCTAGTGACCCTCTGTGTTTTCAGACCTCTCCGTCTCTCAGCGGAGAAGAATTTCCATAAGGTTTGTTGTTGGTCTTGCATTGCTCTGTTATCTTTAAACTACTGTCCTAGAGGTATTTAAAATATTTGAAACAATATTTATGAATGAAGTAATGTCTCTTCAAGTGCTGGGCTTTATTAAAAGGAAAATAAACCGTCCGCGCTGATTTTAAACAGGAACCTGCATATGAAGCTTACCCTTAAAAATACACTTTTTTCCAAAAGAAAATAGTGCAGGGTTATTTTCTGCATCATTAGGCATGCAAATGGGTGTAGTGAGAACGTGCAGTTCAAACAGATCGTTGCAGCCGTAAATCAGATCTCGAAGCACTGTATTACTGTGTTTCTTATCATTTGGTTTCACTTGATGCACTTTGTTCCTGGTGATTTCTTCCCTTAGTTGAGAGAGAATAAACCCGGCACCTTTGATGTGCCCAAGGGAAACGTGCATCTCTCTGAAGAGCAAAATGGAGAAAAATGAATGAGTTCTTGCTTGCGTTGGTACCGGGCCATCTCCTTTTAAACCATATGCTGTGTATTTTTGTAAAGTCTGTGCCAGGTTCAATCACCTTCATTCAGTGTTGCAGGATCCTTCTAGAGTTTAACTCACTGCTTTTTGCACAGTGCTGCTCACCAGGAACGTATTTTACAGACACAGCTTTCAATTTTCCTGTGATTAGGGAGCAAACAGTTTCCCATTACACTGAAAATGGGAATATTTCTCTCTTGCACAATACTTTACCATAGAGGCTAATTACTAATTACCAGATTTGTTGGCATCGGTTTAATATTTTGGGAGAGCAGTGCTTCATCATTATTGCTTATCACTGCAGTTAAAGAAGCTTTCACAACAGGGAAGGGGTATGCAATACATATTTCCCCACTGAAGACTGCTTTGGACCAGACAAGTGCACTACTGCTAAAATCTGTTTCCCAGTGAACTCAGTGGAAGGCTTGGCTGCTGTTGCAGAAGGGCTGGATCTCAGCGCTAGCATTTTAAAATACTGCATGCTTCTTCTGCGTTTGAGTCGGTATTCTGTGGCTAGCAGAATACATTATTTTTTCAAATACCCCAGTGTAACAAGCACATGCTTCATTTTTAAATACCACTTACAAGGAGAGCAAAAGTTCACATGGCTCCATTGCAAGAGAATCAAGCAGAGAAGTGGAGCAATGGTGGGAGCTGAATAAATTAGTAGATGTAGCAGAGGAGAGAAATTTATTTCAGAAAACAATTATTTAACTCGTGGCAAATATTAACCAGAGTATGCATGACCAAAAATTGAAGAGGTCAGCCACAAGTTTACCATTTCGTTCTGCTGTTTTCGTGCAATTTGTCGGTTTAGAAACCATGAGAGAAACAAGACACATAAATATTTTACTATTTCAACATGAAACAGTGATGCCTTAAGACTTGAACTCAAACAATATTAAAAAATAAAACCAAAATATTTGGCCTTTCACCCTGTTCTTGCTTGCGTGCTCCTTTTCTGAGCTACACAGGCAGGATTGGATCTTCATAGAGAGTAACCGGTCTTTACTACCCGCATTTACATTTTCTGGGCACAGTCCCGCAGCCTTTACTGTCATGAGTAATTCTTATTAAGGGTTTGTCAGAGTGACTAATCGAACATTGAAATTACCATATTTTCTTCAGTAAACAGGATCGGGCTTGTTTACTATATTTAGTATTGGCTTGGATTAGCAAATCGACTGTTTTCTAGTTGTCACCGTCAAGATGATACTTCTGAAATGTGTTTCCTTAGGGCTGTAATTGCATCTCGGGGAGGGCTAGTTCAGTGAGGGCTCGTACAGTAGATATATTTCTGTTTTCTAGCAGATACTGATTTAAACTGAGGCTCAGAATAAAAACACTCCAGTGATGATTTTCTCCCTCGTTTTAGTGCATGGTATTGCCAGTCCTTCTGCATGTGAGTAGCCCTGTTTAAACTCAGTGGGTGGACTCAAGAATTAAGAATGATCTTGTAGGGGAAGAGTTTGCAGGATCAGGCATGCATGCAGAAAATGTCTGATATTCCTGAGTAACAAGGCAGAATCTGTGGAAAATGAAGGAAGAACAGTCATTTTCTCTCCTGCAATGCAAAGCATATATTTTTAATTGGAAAAGTAAGTTTTGTAAGTCAGAGTGGGCAGGTTTTTCTTCTATTCTGACAGATTTGGTCTCTATATTGTAGCGCAGAGATGACTGATAACCCCCTTCATAAAATTAGAAACCACACCCCCAGACCATCTGGCATATTACTTAAAGAAAAACACTACCCAACATGGAGCTTATCATTGTATTCAAAAAAGAAAATCCAGGCCAATTTGTCAGAGCCCAGTGCAGCCATGTCCGATTCAAGGAGAAATCTCGGTAAAGGCAACAAGAAAATTCTCTGTTTGTATCAGAAAACAGGGTCTTACATGAACTGGCTGTGACTGGGATCCATAGTCAGCGACGGAGTTTCATTGGCGTGACAGAGAGCAGAGTCTGACCCTGTTTAAAACAGAAAGCATGCACGATCCCAGGAAGTAGGCAGCTGTAGCGTGCAGAGTACAGTTTTACTACTAACAGACTAAATCACCAAAACGGGGGCATTTCCTATATTCCGCCTGTGAAGTTCTCTTTGGCTTAGCAGCGTGGTTTTTCTCCTCGCGCTTCACCTCTCCCATCTGTCCTGTGGGAGGTAGAGTTCATTTCGTGACCTATTATGTTTGCCTCCTGCTGGGAACAGATTTTCCCCCAGCCATCCTCCTGCGTGGGGAAACGCAGGGCTGAGTGTGCCTCTTTGCATGGTTTAAGGGCATCAACCAGAGGGTCACCTTAGGCCATGTGAATTTAACGGCCTGTGATTAAGAACTAGCAGAGCAGCTTTTGTTAAGTGGAGAAATGTTCTAAATTAACAGTGTACTTTCATGGAAAAGTGTTACGATAGCTGCAGAGCTCAATCTATTGGAAAATCTTCTGTTGACTTTGTGGCTTTTGGCGTGGCGCTCAAATTAAGGATGTTACCATGCAACGCGTTGGCTTTCCTTGCACCTCTTAAACATGACGAGAGGCCGGCATCTCCCACGTGTGGCCTGTGTTTTCTCTGAGACAGATAGAGGCAATACTCCTCCTGCTTTACAGTCGATTGATCCCATCTAGGTAAAGGGAAAAAAACCTAACCAAAACAGGATCTCGCAGGCTGCTACTTATATTTCCTTTAATAGATCAGAGTTGAAAACTTAATGACATCTATCTCTGCAGCTGGATGTCAGAAGGGCATACTTTGCATCAGCCAGAAAGAAGATCGAACAAACAGATTGACGTTGCCTTGGGCTTTCTGGCTCTAGGACCGATTTGTAAGACAGACCATTTCGGTTTATTGTACCTTACATTGAATTCCTGAAAAAAGAGATAATGAGGATTGCTGTTGGTACTAGAAGGCTTGGACCTATGCTTTTTGGATGCACATCAAAGTGACATCTAGAAGGATTTGTGTTAAGACTGCATATATTGGAGACTGTACCTCACATAAATTGTTTGGGAAGGAGATGGCAATGCAAAAGTATAAATTGATAAATATAAAATAACAGTAGTCTTAGGATACTTTCCACATGCTTATTTAGGGAGACGAGTAATCCCATATTGGCAGAATGTCACAGGAACTCTGTGATTTATACTCCATGACCCAGTGGAAAAATGCCAATTTGACAAAAAAGAACAATTTCAGCTACGCTAATGGATTGACCAAGGCTAATTGCAAGAGTTTGTCTACCCATCGTTGATATGTTGTCAGTACATAAAAGATTACAGAGAAATTTCTTGATCGGCTGCCATGAAAACATTTTTTTATTATTAAAATGTTAAAAGAGAGCTGCATTAATCTGGCTCTGTGCAGCATCCTCCATCTTCGCTTAGTGACAAGCAGTGTTCAATTGCTAAACTAAGAACCACCGTTTCTAAGCTTTCTGCTCTGAGCCTCATTTTGTGAGGCGCTAAGCACCCATAAACTCCCGTTTCCTTCGCTAAGAGCTGAAACACCGTATCCTGCAACTTCATGCTCCAAAGTCAGTACCTTGGGGGGAAAAATGGATGCAAATTCTGACGTGATTCGTTTGGGAATCCTTTTGCTGGATTGTAAATTAGGTATCAGGCTTCTTTAAAGTCAAATGAGACAGTACTATTTGTAATTACCATAGCATCGTTGTTTTAATGAAATAAAAGAAAGACTTCTGGCCACACATCCAGAGTCAAGTGTGGGTTTCAAAGCTGACTTTCTGATTTTTCAGTCCTGCTCGGGCAGGACTCCTGTTGACTTAAAGATTGCTTGAAGTGCAGTGATCTTCCCATTGACTTCACTGGGAAATGGAATTCCTTCCAAATGCCTGTGAGGATCAGGGGGACACCAAGTGCCTTTAGCATTATAGTGTCTTCTGGCACCAGCCATGTGCTCCATAATTCTGTTTATTAAAAAAAAAAAAAATTGATGCTGTGTCGATAGAAATAATACAATTTGTGTTGCATAATGCATTGAGGTTTGACTGGAACTTGTTTTGCAGTCTGCTGTGCTAGCTGTGTAGATCTCTTTTTTTAACCCCCACAGTGAGACATGAACTTACGAAATGATATACATGCCTAAGATATGTAGCGAGACAGTGAGATGCAGTATGAGCCAGAGGCCTTCTTCACCTTAGAAATCATCTTATAAGCAACACATGCTCCTCGACATGTCATTTTGCTTTATAAACATGATGATAGAATATGGCTAATTGCAGCTGAGTTGAGCAGTTATATATAAGCACATGGCTTAACATATTGGTTAGCTGATCATACTATTCCTTTAGTCTTACCAGTTTCTTTAAACAAGACAGCAAGAAATCAGTCATGTTAGAAGGGAGCTATGCCAGCGTGTTGAATGTGGGATTAGGACCTGTGGTTCAGGTCTGCTGTACAGCTGGCATCATCGACGGTTTCTCTTTTCAGCAAGATGTCTGTGCCCACCAAGCAGTTCGGATTAGAGGCATTAGTTTTGTGTTCAATCTTTTTCAAACGCTGTTCGCATGCGGATAGAGCTGCTTCTTGCTCTGAGCCTAGCTTGGATCTTACACTGAGCAGAATTCATGCTGCGTTCTTTTGAGTATCACTTCGTTGCCTCAAATTGAGGGAGAGGTTGTGACAACTCGAAGCTGCCAGCAAGGAGATCAGTATTAAGGTGTTGGGTGGCTGAGCATCAGGAAGCGGAAGAGGGCTGGAGGAACATCAGGACGGATCCTCATTTTGCATAACAGCCTTTGGGGTCAGGTGGATGGCCTGGTGCCATTGGAATGGGATGCAGGAGACCTGGCTCCGCTCCCCAGCTCAGTCGCAGACTTCCTGTGGGGTCTCAGGCAAGCCGTTTTATTTACCCCACTGGTGAGTTTTCTGGAGTATGGGGTACAATAAAAGCAGAAATAAAATCTGTTAGTCATTGCTGTGTTACATTACAGGACTGGGAC